TGTGTGTGTGTGTGTGTGTGTGTGTGTGTGTGTGTGTGTGTGTGTGAGTGATGCTCAGCCCTGTCGCTGCTTTATCTATCTTGGGCACTTCCTGGGCAGTCTCCATGTTTAAGGAGCGGCCAGTCAGGCTTAGGGTCATGTTGAAGTGACCTTGGGACCTCACATTCTCTACCCTCTCTGGGATACCCAAGGTGGACAGCACTTCCCCAGGTGCCCCTCCCTCCGAGGGTAATTGTTGGAGAGAGAACCCTGAAACAGCAGCACAGGCCACTTCTCAGAGCTGCCCAACCCCCTTCCCTCCCTCGGGCTGCCACACAGCCTTACTCTGCCCTATACCAGGAGGGGCAGGCCAGGCCCCTCTGGGAAACAGGTGAGAGAAGCCAGGTGACAGGCAGTACTCCTGCCAGCCTTGTGACTTCCCCCTCCCTCCCCTGCCAGGCCTCATGGGGCCTCATGGGGCAACCGGAACAAAGATAACAAACAACCAGTAATGGCTGGAGTAAACCACAAGAGGGGCTGGCTGGGCCTAATAGATGCCCATCAGGGCCCCAGGCCCTGCCCTTCAGGGTCCTGCATGCCAGGCTGGGCACCTGGGTCATCCTGAAGTCACTGCAGCCCCATTCTGTAGTGGCTTGGCCAGAACTTACAGGGATGGGGCTGGGCTGGCCAGCCCTCACTCTGGCTCTAGGGCCCAGGGGTCTTTGCTGCATTTGGCTGCTTCAATCCACCAGGAGTTGCAGGGACAAGCCCACCTGGGCTCTTCCACTTGGAAGTCTGATGCCACAGACAGGTCTCCAGGACACCCAGCAGGGCTACCCAGAGATAAGAGAGGGCCAACAGGTCACCACCAAGCCACCTCGCCTTGGCCTAGAACGCCCAGTGGTGAGAATAAGCAAGCCAGGAAGTGACTGAGTGTAGAGGCCATAACACTGACCTTAGAGATGAGCAAGGAACCAACCAGTCCTGCCCACATCTGCTGCAAGGGGCAAAGAACAGGGCTGGGCAGGAAGAAATTCATAAGTATTTCCTGGATGCCGAGCCAGGGGCACCCTGCATCAGGGCAAGAACCTATGGAGAGATCTCTGCCTCTGGGGTGGCCACAGAGGAGGGGGCTGGGAAGCTGGCTGGATCTCTGTCCTGCAGGCTGTAATGCTGCTTCACCTTCAACAGTCCAACCTGGCTAGCAGACCCCTCCCCGACCTGACCATTGGGATGAAGAAAGAGGTGTGTGGGGGGGCAGCGTCCAGTGAAGCAATTTAATCAGGAGCTGGGTCCTTGGGGGCCCTTCCCTTTCATCTCCCAGGATGCCAGGCTGCTTCCAAAGAAACTGGAGCTCAGAGAACAAGACTTCAGGGGGGGAGGAGGGGCGGACCTGGGAGGGGCCAGGGCCAGGAGGCACCAGCGGGTAGTCCAGGCTGGCCTTCCTCTACCTCAGCCCTGCTGGGTAGGGCTCCTCGGCCCTCCTATCCACTAGACTTGGGGAAGGCACGCATCCTCCCAGGGGTCGCGGTGGCACCCCTCCTCAGCCACCTCCCCGGACATCCTCACGGTCAAAAACTAGAGGCTGCAAGTTCCCACCCACCAAGGGTCTGTGTGAGGGGCGGGCGCTCCTCCAGACCCATCTGAACCCTTGGCCTGCGCCGCCCAGAGTCAGCCTGGCCTCAATTGAGAGGGGGATAGAGGCTGGACCTGAGCCCCGCACCGGAGTCCTCACTCCAAGGTCTCAGCAACTTTATCCCCGTTCTGCCCCTCCGTAGGGCACCCCCCTCTCCCACCGCGCCTTCGGCTGAGCCCCCAGCTGGGCCCTGGGGCCCTCATCTCCTAGCGGGGCGATCGGCCCCACAGGGGAGGGTGGGAAGACACGTTCATAGCGGTCTGTCAGCCCAGCCTTGGGGACTCAGAGGTCGCGTGGAGCATCATCTTTCCACCCCGACCTCCCGGACGCGGGGCGCCCCAGCCAGGGAGGGTCCCTACGCGGCGCTCGTGAGCGCACAGGTGCCCCCAGGTG